TTGCGATATTGTATAAGTAATACAGTTCACGAGTTTTATGTTGATAATGGAATTAATATCGTGCTTAACATTGGTGATAAAGCATTTGTATTTATGTTAATTTGTAAATAACTTCCGTCTAAAACTTACATTTCATTCAGCCAAGAATATTCGCTTCAAATTTTTCCAACAACAATACTTCGCGAACGTGTTTGTCACCTTTTTCACTTTCCACTGTGTACGAAATTAACACTTGTGTTTTCTACGATTACGATTTATCACTTAGATTTTATCTCACATACTTTGCAATTCCAAATAAAATATTCTTAACACGTTTAGCAGACTAGTTGCTAGAGTGACTTCTTCTGACCGAGTGTGCTTTTACCTAAACCGACCCCAAAAACGGTTCTTTGTCAATCGCGTAATTTTCAAAAAATGTTTTGCATAAAGCGATAGGATAGCAATAAACCTCCGGGTTGTCGGCGAGCCTTGATCCTAATTGCCTAATATAAAGCGTCCGTTTGTCAAGGCAGTGAGCCGGTACCGTTACTCCGGCAACGGGTTTTTTTTGGGAGTGTAGTTAGCGTGCGCCCGCGCATCGTGGAATCGAGTCGTGCCTTCTATTCGTTAACTATTAGATCCTTATTGTTCGACGTCGTATGCTTCGGAATGTTACTCCTACTAACCTTTAACAGATAGTTTACATTGAGTATAAAGCCCTTACATATTTTTGTGTAACAATTTAGTTATGAAGTAACATAATTTTTAGACTAAAAGCCAAATGATGGAGGGATGTTTGTTAAAGTTTGAAGCTTAAATGGTGAACGGATTTCGATGATATTTGACACAGATGTAAAACATAGTCTGGAAGAACACATAGAGTACTAAGTTTTTATTTTAATTACTAGCAGACATAGGGCATTTAAATTTTCACATGTAGAATTTATCATAAAATATATGACACGATATCATACAGCAGTATGGACACTGAAACAGCAGCCCTAATAATGGATGCCTTTACCGTTACACCGATTATTCTTTGTTACCACTTCGCCAACGATGGAACGAGGCTGGCCTGACAGGTCAAGTGCTGTTGTATTCGCTAAATCAGCGCGCAATGGATTGCAATAAAATAATATTGAAAAACAAGATTGATTCGAGCACCAATTCTTTT